AAATCAGCTTTGCATTCTTTGCATGGATGATATCCCCATTTGTTCCTGCTGTGTTATCCTTTTTATACACTAGGTTTGATTGTTAATATTTGTTAAGAATTTTTGTGCTATGTTCAGAAAAATATGCTGCTGTAGATTTCTTTTCATGGAATAGCATTGCTGGTTTTGCCAGAGTAATTATGAACTCATAAAATAAGTTGAGAAGCGTTCCTTTCCCCTATATTTTCTTAAAGAGTTTGTAGAAGATTGGCATTATTTTTTCTTATTTGTTTGAATCTGCCAATGAATTCGTTCATGTCTGGAGTTTTATTCTGTGGGAAGGATTTTAATTATGAATTAAATTTCTATAATGGATAGAGATTAATTTAGACATTGTTTGTGTGTATGTATATGTATCAGCCTTTGTAACTTATGGCTTTCAAGGAATTTGTCCCCTGAAATGTCAAATTTATTGCCACCAAGTTGTTTTTTATATTCTTTTTTTTTTGTCTATGGTGTATGCAGTGATGTCTCCTCTTTCAATGTTGATACTGGTAATTCTGTATTTTCTTTCCCTTTTCTTTGAGCAATTTAGCTACAGGTTTGCAAATTTTATTGATTTTTTCAAGTAAATAACTTGTTTTCATTGATTTTTCTATTCCATTTTAGCTTTTTATCTATTGTTTCCTTCCTTTGTGTGTATTTTCCTAGTTTGAGGTGGGAGCTTATTCTATTAATTTTAACCTTTTTATTTGTAATGTAAGTGTTGACAACTGTACATTTTTCTCTAAGTTGCATCCTGTAAATTTTAATATGTTTTCTTTTCATTATCATTCAGTTCAAAGTATTTCACAACTTCCTCTATGATTTTTTTCTTTGACACGTGGTTGACTTCAAACTTTGTTTAATTTGGAGAATTGTCAGAACACACATCAGGAAACTATCACACATGGCTCTTGTTTAAATTTAGGACATAAAGCATGGGCAGAAGATGGCCTCAGGAGTGAGTTAATACGACACTCTCATATGATATATATGCATGGATATACATTAGATAGGTACTGACATAGATATATGCAGCCTCCTGTTGTAAATCTAAGATAATTTGAACTGGACTTTTATTGACAAAGGCAGCCTTAAAAGACTGTTCAGAGTCACATTATCAGCACATCCACTTTTTATTTTATTTAAACCACTTCTCCCCCCTACTGAGTACCAAAACAGTTAGGATTCCACATACTTTTAAATATAATAAGAATTAAGTCTGTCACTACCTAATTGCTTTCAATTAATCTGAAACTTGAAACAGGGGTCCTTCACACCTTTGCACTTCAGAGCAAACCAAACCATCCACCTCTAACCAGACCTGGCAGGAACCTGCCCGCTACTAGTTCTGCTCTTTCTGACTCTGCCAGCCTCTCATCAGTCAGTCACTGTATTCAGATAACCTGTCTGCGTCAGTCCTGTAACACCCAGGGCAGTTTCATCACGGACGCGCAATGAGATCAGGAAGCATAAATGCAAGAAGGGAACTGGTGAGTTTCCTTCCATGTAGTGACTAATATTGCTCTGCAGCAAACAAAATTGGATGGAGAGCTACCACCTGCGAGGCTTTTGTCCTCAGGAACTGTCTGTGTTACAGGCAGGGGTTGTCAATTTAGAGGCTGCAGAGAGGAGGGGATGTGTACTCAAGCCAGACTCCCAAGTTCAAATCCTTGCTGGGCCACACGATCACCTGTCACTTCAGGCATGCCCTGTAATCTCTCTCTGGGCCTTGATTTCTCCACTTGTATGATGGACAGAATAATAGTTCTTATCTCACAGCATGGCTGTGAGGGTTTAATGAGTTAATAGTCGTGCTTTGCAGGCACCTAGGGATACACCCTAGGGACAACAGAAATATTAACCGGTACTGCTACAGCTCTGACAAAGCAGTAGTTTAAGAAGTGCTTGAAAGTTTAAGTAATCTTTAAGAGAAAGAGCATTACCCCATCATCAGGACCAGCAAGGAATCAGAGAGGGGAGCAACCTTGAGGCAAGGCTACTTTTCACAGGTGCTTTAACCAGAATAGAACTTGGGAATATCTTAGGCCATGTTTTCCGAAGACCAGAAGATCAACTTGTTTTCTTGGCCTGGGGTTTGCTCTTCAGAAAATCATAAATAGAGTCATAATCATGGACTTTGAACACGAAATCAGATGAGCTCACTTTAACTTCTTCCACGTAGTCTCGGAAGCTATAGAAAACATTTACTGGAAATTTATTTTAAAGGCAACTGCCCAATTGCCAAACGTTGTCTTTGGAATGAAAAATCAGATACTAAAACGTACTAAACTATAATTTTATTGTTAATTCTTTAACTTCAAATAAATATTATGGTCACTTCTGTGAGTGTAGTTAATTTCTGCTGCTTTCCACATTATAATTTATTAGTTCTCTTAAGGCAGTCTCAAATTATGTCATCAATCTTAGTCTCTGCATTTAACATATATGGTGGAATTTACTGGTTCACTGGTGTGAGTAATTTTCAATATCTTGCTAAACAGCCTGTGGCAACTGGAAAACAAGCTGCATATATTAGCCATTTCTGTTTGTGCACAGGGCAAAAAGAATTTATGCTGAACACCCAATGTTATTGAGTTGCAGGCACTTACATAATTAATTCAAAAATACTCTTCTTCCTGTAATTGAGAAAACAATATTACATATTTGGTAGGCAAGCAGTAGAGCAAAGCACTTATTATGGCAACACTTAGTTTTTATTTCACTTTACTGTTATTTACATTATTTAATCTCCCTAATCCAACTAAATATTTTGTATATCATTCTGCCCATCTCCTTCCAGAACTTACATATAGTAGAAGCCCAATCGATATTTGTAGACCAACTTTATTATCCAGTGTACTCAGATGGTGCTTGAAAGCTTAGCTCTGTGGAGAAAATCCCCTGCAGTGCCAGTGTGCTGTGAAAACTCCCCTGTAGCTTAGCACATTCTAGGTGGCTGTATATTAAAAGTGTACTGCCAGCCATTGATTCCCCTCAGTCCTGGGGACAACTGACGAGGTCCTGCCGTTTGCCAGGTAGTGAACCCGGCTAAGATCAGATCCTCGCAGTTCTCCTGGGCAGCCCGAGCGAAGCCGGTTTAGCAGGTGAGGATGAGTCCTCTGGCGGCAGCCATGTCTGTCTCTACCAGTTGGTGCTGAGTGTGGCCAATAAGGTGCCTGCCCGCCTGGACATCTAGTTGTGCCACCAGCTGCAGGGCACACAGCACCTACAAGGGAGGCGGAGGAGGTTTGGAAGGAGTTCACTGTGCGGGGGCCCAAGAAGCTCTGCTGTTGTGCAAGTTGAGGCTGGGGACACAGGCCCATTTCTCTGTCCCCGACCTCTGTGTTCACACGGACACGTGCTTTAGTCCTTTTGCGGTTGCCATAACTTTTGCAAAGAGCTCCAATCCCGACGCAGGTTCCCCCAGTGTTCTGGTTCTGCCGATGAGAGAGTCAGTATGCTGCTACGCATGGTCTGACTGGGCTTGAAATCATTGGCTCCATCACAAGAAATTCAACACTACATTGTTTTGGACAGAAAAAAATGGTTGTGTCATTCAATTATAATTTCTAACTATGGTAAAGTGTTGCAAGGTTGTACGAAACTGTTTTTACACTTTTATAGCTCGCTTATTTTGTTTTATGTGGAACTTTATGCAGTTTGATATTTAAATCACTTCTAATATTTTTATATTTTATTTTTAACATGTATGTAATTTAAAAAAGCACAGATCAATGTTTTAATAAGCTCCACAGAGCTTTATCTTTTTTTCTATGACATAACTTTAAAAAATTTCGTGGAGTGCCTTCCATTAGGGATTTTTGGTGGTTGCACAAGTGTGCAAGGTTCTCCAAAGTACTTCCACAATTGGGCAGAGCCTTCACTGCTGATTCTGGCACGCAGATTACTCAGCTTCAACAATAAAACACTGCAATAACAATTTCACGAGATGCCATTAAACGGGATCACGTGCAACGTTTACATCCGACTGCGCACCAGACTGGGAAAGTGACCAGCAGACTGGCTCATCCTTCAAGTTCACCCTCCGTGCTAGTCGCCTTGGACAAAGTATTAGTTACCCAGCGTTTTCTCTATTAAGACTTCAGAGCCTGACTTTTTCCAGCCTGCGCAGCGAGCCAAGGGTCTGGTCTGTATAGAGTCCATCCCAAGCCAACACATATTTCCCTTTTTCCTGGGGGGCTCTGACGCGCCCCATGCCGCGCCCACCCCACCGCCGCCCCCCGTCCGTCCCCCGGTCGGGGCTTCGCTGGGGAAGCCTCCCGCCAGCACCCCACCCGGCTTCCTGGACGCAGCAGGTGGGCTCTCCCGTCGTCTCCTCGCTCTTTCTCCGCAGGTGCACAAGGAGGTACAAGCCGAGGCAAGGGGGCCAGCGCTCCCGGACCACCTCCGGCCAGTCCTCCTCGTTCCGCGCCCCCCCGGGGTGGCAGTGGCAGAAACCTGACCTGCGTACCAAGCCGAGGGGGCGGGGGCCGCGACATCAGGGGTAGTTACCTTCGGGCCGCTGCCATCCCTCCCTTCCCCCCAGTCGCCGGGACTGTTTATCTTCGCCTCTGCTCCTCACTCTTTCTCTTTCACTTTTCTTTTCGCCGTGGGGGGGGGGGACTCCCTGGCTTCGGAGCGCTCTGGGGAATCCCAGTTCCCTCGCTCCCTGTCGTCGTAGCCCAATAGAGAAGGGAGCCGGGTGGCCGTGCCCGGCTGCGCTGCCCGCCGCCCCCGACCCTGCAGCCGGGACTCGATGGAGGTACAGAGCTCCGTTTCTCCGCTTTGGGAACTGGGGTGCTGGTAAAGAGGGCGATACAATTTTGCCAGCGGAGTCTCCGCCTCGGGCCCCTCCCAACTCCAGTTGGACCCACCCGTTTCCCCCAACAGGCTGCTGGCCGGCTGCCCCGCCCTCTTATGGGCAACACTTGACCGCAACTTCAGTTTTCGCTTGCACTTCGTGCAGAGGTTTTCCACCTTCTGGCCCTTTATATCTCTCGTGCGCTGTTCTCGCCATCCTCCACTTCCAGAGGAGCGCAGACCGCTGGTCCACCTGCGCATCCCGCGGGCTCCCCAGTGCGCTGCCCTCTTTGCGCGTTGCCAGCTGCCGGCGAGCCTCCAGGGCTGGCTGACAGCAGAGACGTGCGCCTGGCCAGCCTCGCCAAGCCACCGGTTCGGGAGAAGACGGGGTCTGGCAGCACAAAGCGCTGAGTTTCTCACCTACTTGAGCTCAGAAAGTTCAAGAAAGGTACCGCAGCTCCCTGCTTCTTCTCTGCTCCCTCCCAAACTCGAGGGCCAGTGCAAACCTGTGTGAGTGTGTGCGCCTGCGCGATTGCCTCTACCTTTGCTGAGAAAATCAAATCGCCCTCCTCGTCTTTAATCAGGACCCCCCTTTTTTCCTCCCAGGGAGAGGAATTTGCAGGAATGGTATCTGCTTGACAGTCAGCCTTGGATCTATATTATTAGTTCCAACCCCAGACACTTGTCTCTTAGAAAAGCAGTATTAGGAACTTGGAAGAAACGTAGACTTGTACTGCCATCGAATCCCTTATTCAAAGTGGCTTTTCAGCCACCGGGCAGAAGCTTTTGCCTTCACTTCCCTTGCCTTCGGGGTCGAATTCATAAATGTTCTCTCTGACCAAAGTCTGTAAGTTTAGCACCTGGCTTTTCTTCTGCCTGTTGTTTCAGATCTTATATTTGGGTTCTTGATCTATTTTGAATGATTTTTTTTTGTGCAGGGGGACAAACTGTGGATTTAAATGAAAATCCGGTTTTTCTACTGTTATTAAAACTACATATTGTGAGTGTATAGAATATATTTGAATTTAACCATGTAATTCCATGCATGTAAGAGTTTGTTAACTTCAACATCTGTCTTCAGGAATGCTTATAACATTATTCTAAGATGAGCCAGAAGTTTTGAAACTGGAAGTGAAGTGGTTACCACTAGCTATTATTTTTCATTGTGTTTTTTAAAGCTACTTTAAAAAAATTACTTTATTGTGGTGACATTGGTGAATAGCATGTTATAGGTTTTGGGGCACAATGCTGTAATACAGCTACTTTCTAATGTCACGGTATTGGTTATGGCATCACCTGGTAGCTGGTGGGCATCTTCGTCTTGTTGGTGTGTCTAAAGGGACGGGATCGAACCAGTAAGTCAGGTCTGGTTGGTTACAGCATCCTGCTGTGCAGAGCTGAAGCCAAACCGTTCTACTAAAAGCATGAAGTGCAATGTTGATTAAATGTTAAACACCTGCCCTTGTACTAAAAAGCACCTTCTGTGGCCATGGTAGACAGAGGGAGGAGGTACTAGGGAAAGAATGTGAAAATATATGAAGGAAAGGACTGTAAATGAAGCTATCGCCATTTAAGATTTCCAAAGTGATGAAAAATTTTAAATTTTACTTTATTTAGTTAAAAAGTCTCAAAAAGTTCTGAAGTTTTGTTGCAATAGTGCTTTAATGCCGTATCCTTATCTTTCTCCCTCGTATCCTTCCAAAGTTCTGGTCGTACACAGAGTGACCTTTCCTGAAGCAGCATCTGCTTTGGGACAGAGAGACCAGGAGGAGTTGGGATGGCCCCTGGTGGGGAAGGTTTAACAGGCAGAGTGTTCCCGTAATTCTACTCAGCTTTTCAAGTGGGTCTCTGACCCCAAACCATTTCTAAAACATTGGAATTCACTGCTCCGCTGACTGGAAGTGGAAACTCCAGAATCCGATTTGAAGTGATAGCGCTGGAATTTGGAATTTTCCTACAGATTACTGGTGGGTTTAAGAAAAACAAGGGGGTGCTTTTTGTTCTAATCTGTGGGATTAATATATAAATGTCAACAGCTGTGTCCATGACATAATGAAATGCATGTTTATACACTTCTTTGGAGGGTGGGTAAAACAGTGGTTTAAAATCGACTGAAATAGAGTTTGATAATTGAAGGATTTTAAACCCAAAAGGCTCTTCATCTCACATTTACTGGCTCTGAGCAGACCCAAGACCTAAGAAGGCTGGGAATGAAGCCCTGAAATTTGGGTATAACTGGATTTTTCTGAGGAAAATACCCATAATTCTAAGCAGTTTTTAAATGGGTCTCAGACCCAAAAACACTTTGGAAAAGTTTTTAAAATTTAGAAGACCATCCTTGCTGTTAAATTGTGTTCATTATGTAACCATTCTTTTTAAAAAGAATTTGTTCATTTATTTTTAGAGATGGGGGAGAGAAAGAGAGAAAAAGAAACATCAATGTGTGGTTGCCTCTTGCGCACCCCACACTGGTTCTCAACCCAAGCATGTGCCCTGAGTGGGAATTGAACCTATGACTCTTTGGTTTGCAAGCCCACACTCAGTCCACTTAGCCACACCAGCCAGGGATGTAACTGTTCTTTTGAAGGTTAGGTAACAGGGTAATACAAAAATTGTCTTTGGGCCCACAACTTGAATGATAGGAAATGGTACTAATCCTGGTTAATTTTTTGAATCCTTATTAGCTATCAGATGTTGTTCTAAGAATGTATTTTTTAAAATTGTCATAATAAATTCATGTGGTGGTAGGGAATGCATTTCAGAGCAGAGGAAATGGGAGCATAGAGTAATTATATAACTTTCCCAAGGCTACAGCTTGAGAATGGTGGAGCTGTGATTTGAACCTGGAGAAGTTTGGTCAGTGGCATTTGTGAAGGTTGACATTATTTCCATAGAAACACTTTCCACAATTTGACAGTTACCATCAACCACTATTTTATTTTGATGCAGTGTTATAAGGACAGAACATCGGGTTTAAAGGAATGCTTATATGGTGCTTAACATGATTGACATGATTAAATATATATTTAAAGATCACCTTTATGACCAAATAATATTTTCATGAGTGTGTATATGTGTTTGGTTCTTTGGAGAAGTTTCTTTCATGCTTTCTGAGTGAACACATTTGTCTGATTTGTACTGTTTTTGCTGACAGAGCTTGACAAATGTAGTAGGCAAATGTGGATTGATCTGTATTATCCATCTATCTGTGTACTTATCCATCCAAACAGAAGCCTGGGATTCATGGAGAGATCAATCAGGATGGAAGACTTCCCATTATTATCACGCCGGCGGTGGGATAGTCAGCTTCAGGGGGGTCCCCTTTCAGAAGGCTTTCTGGTGTGAGGGTTGATGAGGAGCCAGCTTATTTCTTCAGCTCAACTATTGGCTCTCAGATGAATATACCCAGTAACTAAAGATTCCTGCCTGAGGCTGTTGAGACTAGACCATTGCCGAAGTGCTCCCTGCGGCCCTATTTGATGGGTCAGTTGGAAAAATTCCATACGATAGTTGAGAGAGCATTTGGGGTGGTAGCTAGTAGTACTGGAATGTGTTCTCCCCTAACTATTTAATGGCGAATTGTACTAATTAACTATTAAAACTAAATAACTAGTATACCAATTATTTTGTTTATGTCAAGGAATGGTACCCTTTGTTTAAAAAGTTCTTTAGCGCTAGAATCAGAAATGGGGAATAAGAGGCTCTTTGGTGTCAGTTCAGTTCAATGATACTGTTTGTGCACATTTGATCTCAGGAGGCAGGGTATTTGTATGCCTATACTGTCCAGTGTTTTAACCCTCTTCCTGTCTCCTGGTGTCTTGCCGATTATTTTAGAAGGGCAGGGGACCATATAGAAACCACATAAAAGTAGACAAAAATTCGGAGTCCCCATTAGCTGGTCATGTTCTACAATAGAACAGGTGCCCGTTGCTTCCTCTCAACACTGAGGTTCCTCCAGGGTGCAGACGGAATGCGGGGAAGAGCAGGAGACTGACAGGAGGTGCTCACTCACACAGAGAATTGTGAGGCTGGTGGTAGGGGGAGCTCTGTGCACCACAGCTACCTGAAAAGAGACAGGTGACAGAGTCAAAGATCCCTTGTGTCATTGCACTCTCCTCATTGGGTCTCCTGCTGAGAGACCATCTCCTAGGAATTTGAGACACAGACTCCCCCTCACACACTGTCAGCACTGACCTCTGAAGTTTTCCAGCAGTTATTCTTTAACTGAACATTTTACAGTTAGAAAGTTCATAGTATAGTTTCCCAGTTTCTTGGCTGTCCTCCCTCCTCAGCAACAAAAATATGTCACTTAAATTTAATTTTGAAATAAATCCTTTCATTGTTAAAAATGATTATGTTTCTTTAAATATTAGTATGTAATTAACCAGAATAACTCATGAACTTACAATGAGAAATACTTCGGCATAAAACTAAACTATATATAGAGGTAGTTATGGCTGGTATGAGATTAGTGAGCTCATCGGAGAAGGTTTCTCTGATGTCACCTTTTCCAGTTGTCCCCGAGTTTGGCACTCTGGAGAGGCAAGGCATGGGGTAAGGTTCTGGATGGGGAGAAAAATGCATTTTTTTCATAAAATGAGAGAAGGGTGACTATGAAAGGGGAACAAGGAAAGGAGAACTTGCTAGAAATCTGCTTGTCTCAGGCACATTTCAGGCATACCCTTCATTAAAAGGTATAATAATTAACTACTACAACTATATGGAAAGAGCGATCTGCAGACTGGTTTCTTTAGAACTCTTTGTGCCTGCGCAGACCTTGCAAAGTCGTGGGCTTCCCCAGGAGCACCTGCACTTCACTTTGAGGGTCTCTGGTCCAGCTCAAACTTATTGTCCACACCCTTCCCTTGGTTTCTGGGTTACCATGGTGCTGGGGGGAGGTTGAACAGTAAAGAGTAGAGCCTGGCTGCTGTACAGGCTTCCTGTTTAGAGGGGGCAGGGTGGGGGGTAGGGTGGGAATGGGTTCCAGCTGGACTTGGGGGCTTGCTTGGCTTGCCTTTGTAGGCTAGGCTCTCCCAGCCTCAGCTCCAGACACACTGCCCTGGCTGTGCTCTGGACACATGAGCTGTTCCTCGCACTTCCCGTCAGCCTTCCTCTGCTGATCCTCGGCAACTTTGGCTGCTCCCTCTACTGCCCAGGCTGAAAGATTTCTCCCTCATGTGAATTTATCCGGTGCTGTCTACATTCCCCTATATCAGCTTTTGTCTCTTTAAATTCATCTTTTTATGTGTTTGTCTCTACAGTAACGTTTTTGATAAAAAGGTAGGAGAGTGGGGCCCCTGTGTCCAGCCAGGAGTTGGCCGTGTAGCTACTCTGCACGGACTTCAGTGAGAGCGAGTCAGGTCCTTCAACGGCTCGATGGCTCAGCAGAGGAATGTGAAGCGTGTAGAAAACATAAGTAAATATAGCAATATAAACAAGACAGTAATA